CACTTTCGCATTTGCTGGTCCAACAATTTGGAACGCCCTTCCTGTCGATCTCAGAAACAACCAGACACTGGAGTCCTTTAAAACCGATTTAAAGACACATCTATTTCGCAAACACCTTCTGGGATGATTGTCAACCTTATTTTCCAGTTAATGCATAATGGCTGTGTTGCGTATGGTTGTCATTGACATGGCTAGAAAGACTTTGCCATTGTATGCTTGTAATTCGTTTTTGTAGTGTTGCGTTTGTTTTAAATGTGGTAAATTATAGATTTGTTTTTTGTTGACTTTGTACCGCGCTTCGAGCCTTTGGGGATGAAGCGTGTTTTTGAAATGAACTTTATTATTATTATTATTATATCCATTAAAGGCAGCAAGTAATCATGATCCCTACCCTGTTTCTGCCTTTTAATTCCAGCTGCAGATTTTCCACAGCTGGTAGCCCTGTAGATGCTACCATTTTCAGCAGATGCCATGCATGTCCTTTGTCTGACAATGCAGGCACATGCAATGGTGGTTTTGTTCCCTGGTTAACGCCATGGGGTCATGGAGGTGCCTCTCTATTCAGCAAGCCACTACTGATTTTTTTTAATGTCGGACAACCATTAGATTTTTTTATTTATAAGCTTTTTGAATTTTTCGTTTCATTTTCATTATCCTCACTAAACACATGTTTAAGTAATTGGACAGAGTTCATTTGTTTAATTTAATCAGCACACACACACCTTAGCATCATCTGTTGTCTTGTCTTGATGCTCCAAAGCTTTCAGTAAATAGGTTTTTGCAGTTTCCTTGTCCTTCAGTCTCATGTAGGATTTTCCGAGCATCACCTTGTTCTGGTTGTAGAATCCTGGTTCAGCTGCATTGTGGGAGATTTTGTCACTTAATTAATCAAAGTCAGATAATATTTATGTTAATTCATTTCCATAAAACAGTATCATAGAAATAAATTAATTAAGCTACTGACATCACATAAAATATAATCATTTTTAATTTTTAGAAAAGTCATTTATAAATTTGGCCTAAACATGTGTGCCATACTGACTGTTTTTAATTAGGGACAAAACATGTGTGCCACATTGACTGTTAATTGGGGCCTAAACATGTGTGCCTACTGATTGTTAATTAGAAAAAATGACATAAGATTGACATGATTATTGAAGAAAAACAACAGTGCAAAGCTCCTACACTTGCTATATATTTTATAACTACTAAAAGATTTTTAACAAAGATCATAAACACACTGAAATACTCAATACATATTTGAAGCACTTCAAAACATCCTTGCTGCACAACCAAATGGGCTGGGTGGGTGATGGGGGTAATATTTGTAATAAACAGTTCTCCAAGACATAACTTCAAACGCAACAGCAAAGTGACGCTACATCAAACAATAGTTTTGGAAGGATTCAGACATCTTGCCCTCTTTTTTGCACAATTGATTTTAATTTTAAATAACCTACGGCACCTTTTTAAAAACCTGTGCTTGACTTAAGGGAATTTTATCAAAAGGCAGATTTGAAATGTCTCAGTAGCAGTTTAGCTGAGTTTAATGAAGTATATTATTTCAATCTGTCAACAATTAAAACAGAGCAGCCAGTCATTACATTAGGTTACTAAGACACACAGAAGAACAAACCCATTCAGGAGGTTTGGAAGCAGTGCCCTACACTCTCACATTGGTTGAAGGGGGCTGGAAGTACAATTACCCTCATAAAATTTTTGATGCCACCTTATCTATAAATACCGCATATAAATTCTTTGTTTTAGTGAGAATGAGAATCACTTTATAATTTATAGGTTTGCAAAGCAATAGCTTCTAAAGGACATTTTTTTTTTTTTTTACCTTCTTCCGCTTTCTTGAAATAATCAAGAGCCTGAAAAAAAAGAAAACAAAAATAAAGCCACTTAGTGGAACTCAGTTTGTGTTTTACATTTCTGGTTCTTTAGTGCAAGTCTAACTTCCTACTAGCAACAATTTACTGAATGATTAGCTTGTAACTGCATTCAAAAACTAAAAAAAATGCTTCTTACACAAATGCCATTTAAAAATAAATGGTGAAATTCATTTTTCTTAAGTTTAATTAAGTCTCATCTTATATAATTTTATCAGTCTTCCAAACGGAAGTGTAAAATTAATGAGCTAAATAAATGTGTAAAGTAATTTCCCTACAACTTTGACCTACTTCATCATATGTTGATGTGGGAGGGGAGGCAAACAGAACTGAAGCAATTTTTCTCTGATACCAGGCCATGTCCGCAAATAAAAAGCACCTATAACATGAAAGGTATCAAGTTATGTAGCCTTGGGGGGGGGGGGAGATTAAATTAATATCAGAGTATGAACATTGGATATATAGTATACATTAACTTTAGTTTTGAAATATGTCTGTGTTACATTTTGATGGTATACAAGTTTTAAATATATTTTGTTCAAATTGACCTGGATGACTGACTCCTTACCAATAGCCTAGACAATATAAAGTAGTGGCATCTTTTGGATTCAGTTCTATGGCTTTCTATATACAAAAAAGGAGAAGACAAAGACTCATTATAATAAACAAATGTGCTTTAATACTTAAAACTGATTCATTCAATCCAAAGAAATTTAAATAAATTGTTCACATTTCTTCAATGAGATAAACATCTTTAAAAAAAAAGAAACAGTCATACTATTAAATAAATAGTGTAACAAGATATATTAAGGCTTGAAAAAAAGACACAACAATTAAACGGATGATTGGGCTAGATGCCTTCTTCAGTAGACAATACAATAATAAACAAAAGATACATTTTAATTTGTAATGTATTTTTATTTTAGCCTAAATATATCTTTTTACACCATGAATTTACTTCACAATGGCTTAAATTCAGGCCACTATATATTTATACATATATACATACATATATACATACATATATACATACATATATACATTTATATATATATATATATATATATAAATAATATATATTATATATTATCATACATGTGATTAGTTTGAATTAATCAAAACATGTTCATTTTTTTAAATCCTAAAACATTGTTCAGTTTACCATGAAGTGTTCCTTCACTTTAAAAGCATTAGCAATCCGTTGTTTGGTTCCTTCATATTCTGCTGTGTAATCCAATAGAATTCCATACCACTAAGTTATAGAAAAAAAAACATTGCATGAGTGCAGTCAAAAATTTGTAGCAGTTTTTACATTCTTAAACAAGTAAATCACAACAAAATGTTGATCCTTGCAGACAAATAAAAAATATGGCAGATGACAAAGATAGAAGAAAAAAAACAACTTTATGCAAAGTTTAAATACTGATTTATGTATTGTTCATTTATTGTTCATTTAGCAGCATTGTTTTGGACTGCACACAAATTTTCTGTCAAAATATTTATGAATTAAGATCACATTTGATTAAGTTATTTGTTTTTGTTATTTTGTTAAATGACTTCCCTCGAGGCAAAATTGAGTCTATCACTGGCTCCAATGATAATCATCCTCAAAATTTAAACACGACTTAATAATTAATAAAATATCTAGTTACTTTGTGACAAGCAAAATTATCATTGTCTAGTTCCAATGCTTTGTTAATGTAGTCCCAAGCCTCATATATGAATTTTTTCCTTTCTTCTCCTTCACCCATTTTCCCCTTTTCTGTTGCTGCTCGTGCAAGTCTCCAGAGAATATTTGCATCTTGTGAGTCTTTGTAAGGTGACAGAAGGTTATACAGGGCTGGGAATTCTTTTTTATCATATAATGCTTCAGATTCTTCAATTAGTTTTTGTACATCTGATTTGTGAAATAAAGTATGTAAAAATATGTTACGTAAAATGGCAGCATTCAACGATATGGCCTTATAAAATAGAAATTATTTTTATTATAATAGAAGTAGCCTATTTATAAAGACATACCTCATTAAACCTCCATGGATGAAAAAATAACACTTAATCAAGATATAAAACTCATTAAAAAAGCATAAATAAAGTAATAGTTACTTAGTGTTGAGTTTGAGCTATGTTAGTAAAAATAAAAGAACTTTTCTTTTTTTTTTTAAAGTTTAAAAAAAAAAAAAAGAAATTTTTTAAATCTGTGAGATATCATGACCTGTTGTTATGAAATAAAATGTATAATATAGATATATATATAATGCAATCTTTTAAGATATATGGTAATATTTAGTTGCATGAGTCACTTTAACTAAGGTTAGTTGCACCCGGGGTGGTTTAAGAATTTTGTCTCCCCCTTCTACAAAAAGACAAACTCTGCAGTTGCCAGAAAATGCCACCCCTCAAATAAAGAAAAAAGTGCTTCACTTCTTACACTACTGTATTTTTGTCTTCAATTCTACTACAAATTGAATTATTCTGTAAGGAGCAGCAAGCTCAAGTTTCTCATTGATAACTCAAATCTTTTGTTGTAAGGCATTAAAATTGAATAAATCCCTCGTAAAATAAGTTATTAAATAATATTCTCTTGTTCTTTTAATTTTAAAAGAAAAGTATGTTGAGTAAAATTATTTTAAGTACTTTACTAAGCCTGCGGCACACTACTGTGCCACGGCAGACCAGTTGAGAACCACTGATATAGTGAAAGCGAGCTGAAAGCTACTGGGGTTAAAATGTATTTTAATAAATCCTTGTTCATTACTTTTTAGGATGCCATAATGTAAGATATTTTACAATGCTTGTCATTTTATGATATTATATGCAAGATTGCCTTGTTTGTACAATGAAAATACTTAATACTTTACACCAGAGTGTTCCACATTCTAAAAATAATTAAGTCCAAAGGTTGCAAATAGGCAATATGTACTAAAAAAATTAATAAGGAAATGATTTTAGTTGATAAAATGACAATGACTTAACTCCCACACCTACTATAGTTTGAAACTAAAGGGTGCTGAGTGGCAAAGCAGTCTAAACAAAGTCAATCCCAAGCTAGTCGGAGTCAATCCCAAGCTAGTCGGAGTCAATCCCAAGCTAGTCGGAGTCAATCCCAAGCTAGTCGGAGTCAATACCAAGCTAGTCGGAGTCAATCCCAAGCTAGTCGGAGTCAATCCCAAGCTAGTCGACTGGAGTTCAACCCCAAGAAAAAGGCTAGACAAGCCAAAACATCATGTTGGGACTCATTAACCTTGCATGGCAAATTGTCTAAGAGAAGACAAACTCTGAAATCAAACCTGGAGTTTTTTTAGGCGCTTTGACACTGACAAATTGAACATTCCATCATCCCTAGTGATGTAGAACACATAAAGAGCCCCCTGGTCTATTTCCAGTCATTTTGACCATGTCTTGCCATTGAATCAAATAGGCAAAGATGAGAGAGTGAGGCTGACAAATTGAGCCTCACATAAACAAAATACAGATCAAGTCAAAAATTGCCTTGGTCATCTTCATGTGCCAAGGACTAGCAACAACAGTTTGAAACTACGCCAAACAAATACAAAGACAGTACTTAAAAACCTCATACTTGTTCCAGTTTGACTTTTGAGAAAATCCTTGTAAAAATAAACATGCTAGCCCAATGCTCAGCTTATGTGAGAGCTTTTTCTGACTGTACACTTGTACATTTTTGTGCACAGACAAGCCCAGAATAATAGTGAAAGATCTTAAGTTAAGAAAAATGACCCTGCACACATCTATACCCATCTATTGGGTCTACATCCACAAAGTTGGTGCCCCTGCAGTCATTGATGCAAATCCCCAAAACTTGCCATTTGCTTGTGTGATTATAGAGTCTATGAGTCCAAGTAGTCTAAAGACTACAAGTAACCTCTGAAAAGTTTTTGATGGTATTCAATACTACTGAATGTAGTCATGCCAGAGAGGCAGTCTTGGTACTTATTTATGCAACAAGAGATCCTCACAAATCCTGTTAACAACCATCATACTATATTGTTCAGCATAAAATATTTACTATAATAGCCCTCTCTTGAATATTATATTTTGTTTTCAATAATTTGCAAAGTACTCAAAAATTTGATTGATGGTACTGCAGCAAGTAAAAGTAGTGAACTAAAAACTGCATTCACTTAAACCAAATTAAATCTTGATGTGACAAACAAGAAGATATCATATGCATGGGTGTCTTTACAAAAGTGGGAGCCCTGGGCAAAGTGGGGGCACCGAGGCCCCCATCCCTCTATAAACTCAGGGCTGTGCGAAGGAGGGGGCAAGAGAGCCAATCAACCCTGGCACAATAATTGTCTTAAGATAGGCCCTTAATGGTGAATTAAACAATAAAATCCCATTCACTTCACAAAGACATGGGCACAAAAATCGTCATGCTAGTCTAACCTTGGCGCCCCTTTTCCTCTGTAGCCTACTATTCAAGTAATGTTATAAAAATCATTATGGCCCAGGTTGGCCCATGTGTTCTCACCAGTTTCTTTCAGAGGGGGAGTGAGGGGTAGAACTTCAGTCAGAGGAGGGCTGCAGGGCATCTTTCAGCAATGAAATTAGGCATTTTGAAGCCCAGGGCCAGCTATGACTTTGTCAGCCCACCATACATTAACCATAAATTCATTTTGATTGTAGAGCCCCCTAAGGTTATGCTTTTGACCCCAGCTTAGTTTTGTCCATAAAATCTATATAGTCCGACTATGTATACCAAACTAAGGGAAAACGTATAATTTTTTCTGTTAAAAAATAATTGTAATTACAGACCTGATTACCCTTACGTATTTGCCATGGTAATTATGTTTTTAAGCTTAGACTATGACGAGCCAAAAAAAACTACAGTTTCGGGAGTTTTTTATTTTGTTTGGTTTATTTGCAATAAAAGAGAATAAAAAATTGGGTTGTTTTCAGTAAAAGGTTACAGCATTTTTTGTGTTAACACCGAAAGCAATCGAATAGAGATTAACAGTGATTGGATTTTGCGGTCTTGATCTCAATAAATCAACCAGAATATTTTTCTATTAGAGAATTGCGTTATTACTTAACAGCCAATGTGCTTGCCTAAAACTTTTTCTCGTCTTTAATAAACAAACCGGAAGATCATATCTTGTATATTTATTTGTGAAACTACTCTTTGAAAACTACTCTGACACACTAACCCAGGGGTAAACAGGTCTGTATTTACTTGCATCCAGCGCATTTCTTTACATTGAAATGTACCAGACACTTTAATTAGGGAGCGAGAAGAGATTGGGGCACCAAAGAAAACTGGTGGTAAGGTTTGGGGAGATTTCTTAGTAAGCCTCTCCCCCATAAATTTTGATAAATTCAAAATGATGGGATTCACTTTGGTGCATACATTAATTTCTTTTTGCATCATTCTTGACATAATGGGCTTCACATAGAAAAGATGCTACCGTAGTTGAAATGTAGGTTTCCTTGACCATGTCAAGGTTACACAGTTCCTTTTATTTTTAGCTGTATCTAAAAAGAAGTTTTGCATAATTTTATTTTGAAACTAATTATTTCTGTAAACTACTTCATCAATGAATGAATTCTAAAAATAATATTTCCGTTCAAAACATTTGTTTGTTAGAAGAAAAAAAACAACATAAAACTATTTGTACTTTGTATAATAATTATCATTTTGCTTGTATTTACAACTTAAGTAGGTTTTTCCAAAATTGACAGTTATAGAAAAAGAGAAAAAATACTGTTTTGTAGAAAAGGTCTATCAATTATGTATGAATATATAAAACAGGTTATATATTTATTAATGTGATTTATCTGAAGTAAGATGCAAAATAAGTTCCAAACAAATGCAGTAACTTAAAAAGTTTATTTGGAATTTCTCACTATTATTTCTTTTTTAATTTCATTTAATTTAAAGGATTAAATAATGAACTTATAGCTCCTCTTTGATTTCTCCTCCCACCCCCATCAAAAAGAAAATTCTGGATTTTTTAAAAGTGGCAATTTATCAAAAGAATTTTTTTCTAAAACTAGGACCAAAAAATTGAATTGATGTGAAAATTGACAAACTTGTTAAAAAAACTGGAGAAACTCTTTTCCCGCTGCGTTTTGAAAGTAAATTAAATTGCCAAAAATATATTTCAATATCATTAACAATATTGGCAGCATAATTCCCTTCGAATCATGAGGCTCCCTGGAGGTGTGAGGTTACCTAGAAGTGTGAGGTCACATCTCTAGGCATGAGGTCCCATAGAGGCATGAGGCCCCCTAGAAGCGTGAGGCCCTGGGCAAGTGCCCAGTGGGTCTATGCCTTAAGACGGCACTGATCATATCATGCAAGCACTCAAAAAGAACCACTTCTTACCAGAACTCACTGTACCTTCGGCTGCCATGACTGGAAATAAAAGTAAGGCTTGTACTTTGAAGAAGTTCCTAAGATGGTTTGAAGTCTGTAGAGTAGAAAGTTAAAAATGTATTATTTTTATTGAATAACAGTTTCCCAATCAGAAATATAATTTGGGTACTGATACCTTCAATTTTGATTAAAACCTTTGGTAGGCTAATTCTTTCCCAAATTAGTTCATTGGGGCCATTGTGATGGTTTGAGGCTGGTTTTATAACAAGAAGTGGCCGCCTTCTATGACTGGGAACTCCTAAATCGCTTTGCCTTGAAAAGCTTCGAAGACAGGAACGGAGGAAACCCTTCTGAAACCAATAATTATTGATCCACCGAGATCAACTGTGAAATTATATAAATAATAAGGCTAAGTCCACCTCGATTGAACATATGACAGTGAGCAAATATAGCATTTATAATGATGATACTATCAGTATTTAAGGGACACATATTCAAATAAAATAGATTCAAAATTTTGCTGTATTCCTTTTTGTATATATATTCTTTAACAAAGGAGTGAATTACAGAGTTAATGTAAATATCCATCGTGAATAAATACTTGCAGTTATTTGCCCCTTTTTGTGTGGTAATTTAGCTTAATTAAATTAATCCCCTAGACCAGTGGTTCTCAACCTTCCTAATGCTGCGACCGTTTAATACAGTTCCTCATGTTGTGGCGACCCCCAACCACAAAATTATTTTCGTTGATACTTTATAACTGTATATGTGTTTTCAGATGGTCTTAGGCGACCCCTGTGAAACGGTCGTGTGACCCCCCAAAGGGGTCGCAACCCACAGGTTGAGAACCGCTGCCCTAGACAGAGTGCCAAGAGGATATCTTATACGAGAGATACTTTTCAAAGTCAAAACATAAGTCAGATCACCACAGCCATCCATAAATGATGCTAGGCATCTAGGGGGGGAGGGGTGTTAAGCAATGTAGCATGACATAAAAAGCATCAGTTGATCTAAACATCTTCCACAGTAAATTTTACCATAATTAATTTATATAAAATTTGATTATTTAATTTTCATTCTTTAACTTTGTGAATTTTTTATTGTCTTTGATTCAATGTTTTCACTTTTTCACTACTATCACCCTCATTATTACAGAGCAAATGGGTACTGTGGAGAACTGGTACACAATTGGGCGAGGTTAAAAAAATGGGTTTTGATCAAACATTTCATTAGTCTAGAACAGTGGTTGGCAAATCGCGGCTAGCCAGCCTCATGCGGCTCTTAAGCTCTACGAATTCATGCGAACAATCATTTTCAAGCATGAACCTCATCAAGAGTAAATTGAGAAATCATCTTACTGATGAGCATCTGAATCCTGCTTCATAACTTGGGACCTAACTTTGTAAGATTGGGGGAGGGGGTGTAAACAATTATCCAAAACACTGTGATGCTATTTAAAGGATGGCCCCCATGCCATTGTAGTATGTAATAAACTTTCTAATAATTTAAAAACTTATACTTATGACAGCTTTTATTGATTATGTCTTTCATTTGCACCAGCTGGAAAGCTATCTTCTGCTGTTGTATAATTTTAATTTTGAAAAGGTAAACTTCTGAGAAAAAGCCAGTGCATAATTTTTAATGAGGCAATTTGATAATAATAATAATAATAATACAATATGTTAATCCCAGACATGACAAGGCCCCCTAGTCCTAGGGTCCTCATTAAATCTTAGTCTTAGTAGCAGATTCACTGTGATTCTGACTGATGTCTTAGAATATAACAATTGCTAAAAATGAAACTAATATTTATATTGAAATAGGCCTAACTACCAAACTTTCAATACACGTTAATAGTTAAAAGAGCACAATAAAAAAGTAACTTAACCAGCTTACAATTTTACAATAATTATAACTTAGCCTTATTAATTTATTTAATTGTCTAAACGTAGACATCGACAACTCCAGAATTAGATAAATATAAATAATAATCGTAAGAAATAAAAAAAATATTTTTTTAGAATTATAGTACGGTACGAGTACGGTACGGTACTTATTAAAGTTCAAGTGACACACCCCCTCCGTCCCTCCTAGAAGTAATTATTGATATTTGGTACTAAATTTTACCTGCCTACTAACTTAGAATCTTAACATACTACAAATGGTGAGTCATAGCATAATTGTTAAAATTATAAATTAATATACTGTTTGTTGACGACAGTATCTAAGTGAAACTTGAAAAGTTCTTTTGCTAAGGAAACCACAAAGAGTCGGTCGCCAAAAGGTATACACAATGCGATTTACAGAAATGCAAATCGCCATAACTCAAGGTACCCTACTCTTGTCACAAGTTACGACTAAAACTAAATGATTTAAAAAAAACACAAAAAAACTATGTCCAGGAATTAACCCATTTAGACTTTGACCTCAATTGAGTTGAACAAATCAGTAAGGTAGCGTATTAGATGATTGGTGTTAAATATCATTTTAATTTTAATTTACTTTTTAAATAAAGTAGCTTAGGACTAATAACTACTGTTTAAAATGTTTGACCCACAAAAGTGCTGAAGGGGGGTGGGGGAGAAGACCAAAGGGTGGTTTTAAAAAATAGGGGGGAGGGGGGGGGGCACTTTTTCTCTCTCTATTTGGAGGTTCAGCAGAACTACTTTCGTGGGAGAAAAAAAAAGGTGTGGGGGGATTATTTTGGCTCACCCGGGCGGTACTAACCCTAGCCGTGCTACTACAAATACTGGCACGAAATATGTGTTAAACAAAATGGCACAATGTGTGTATGTGGCAGGATTCGGTACCCCAAACCATGGTGCGTTGATTCAACGCCAAAATTTAAATATGGATAAATACCGGTAACATATACATTTTTAAAATTCAGTGTACCCAGTAGTTCCAGAATTGAAACCCTCCCACTCCCACCCATTGGTGTAGCATTTTATAGTACCATACCCCTACAGCGGAAGTTTCAAATTGAAAGACTTAAATACTGGTATTATGTCTGAGACTGTACTAAAAATATATTATTATTACCTGCAACGTCATACTTCTTTCATTTAGCTTATATTTATATCGGTTTAATTGGTTACCGGAAAATTGATATATGGAAATTCGATCGAACGGAAGTTTGGTCGAATTTCTTTTTCAGTTCACACGGTCAAATTTCTTTTTGAATGCACTTTACTATATAGTAAAACAAAATTTTAACGTATGAACAAACTTCCACTCAATTTTCAGTTGACAAAATTTCTCTGGAACAGATTTCCGGATACCCTACGCTTATACTATACTTAGGTGCCGTCCATTAATTATGTCCAAAAAAAATAGAAAAGGGGTGGAAATGTTTGAGTTGTTGGCTAGGGGGGGGGGGGGGGGGTTNATTTAATGAGTGTAAGTGTAAATAGTCATACCAGTATAATTTTTAGATGTCATGTGCAGTCAAGATAAATGATATTGTTAGAGTAGGCAAAGGATATTGTTAGAGTAGGCAAAGGATATTTTGAGATTTAGGGGAAAGTAAAGTGTGTAACAATAATAACATCCCTGCTTGAAAAGATTTTAAAAAAATCTGTAACATCTATTTTGCATCACAAGTCAAGTTGAAAAAGCATCTTCAACAGCACCGACAATGCATAAGAAATTACCACCTGCTACTCTACAAAAAAGGATTCCACCGATTTGAGTAGCTTCCAGGAGACCTTATGGCAATTATTGCTCACACTGACAATGCTTTACTTTCAAGTGCTGAATGGTTAGATGAAGATGATGTTGACTTGTCTGGCATATCACTGTTCCGCAAGATGAAAATGATAAATGCTTGTTAAGTTGTTAATTACTGGAGGCGCCAAAGCAATTTTAATAAAACCTTCAAATTCCGCCCCCCCCCCCCCGATGAAAGAGCAACATCTGTCTACTCCATGGGAAGATGATAGCAGCTAGAAACTATACAATAATTGTCAGCTTTACTGACAATAATTATATTTATATACTTCCACGAACAATGATATTTAGTCTTTAACAACTTTTTCTGCATTATAAATTTAAGTGGATAAACTTTTAACATGTTTATTAATAAGCTAAACATGTATGATGTAATGAAATGTTTTTCCTACAATTTTGTGTCATTAAAATAAATCAGCACAATGCAAAATGTTGTCATACATTTATTTATATTATAATTATTTTTTCTTCTTTTGGGGTGGGGGGTGTTATAAAATGTTGACATAATTAAATGGGGAGTGGTCACTGAAAGTTTGACAGTTGTTGACAAGGGGGAGGGAGGGGGGGGGTCATATATTGCGTAAAAATTGCTGACGTAATTAATGGACGATCCCTTATGTGTCTTCTGAATACATTTATGATTTTCGCGAATTAGGGCCAGCAGGCAAAATCAAGTACTGCCACTCCCCCTTTAAAAAAATACAAGATAGGTGAAATTAATTAAATTAGTTCAAAGCTTAAAGATAAAGTAAACAAAAATAACAAATGGATTCTTACAAGGTAAAACTTTGCCAAACATTTTTCTGATAAAATAAAAAAAAGACAAGAATGAAGTTGGAAAAAATCAACAATATAAAGTTTATTAGACAAGGTTTGATCTAGTCCTGGATACACCAGCAGATTAGGGTCTTAAAATGGTTAAGCTATTTACTCACTTGACAATTATAAATAGTTTACAAGAGCCAAGAACTATATTTATCCCAAATCACTTTTAATAAATGACACAAACTTTTCCCCATAAGTATAAGTCAAATCATTTTCACTGAACTGAGATTCTGTGCTGTTGAAATATGGTAATTCTAGCAAGCAGTTAGGACATACAAGTAATTTAAAAAGTGTGACACCGCACAGAGACAGAAAATATTGCTTACACACTCAACAATTAAGGACATTATTCTTGAAGCCCTAATTTAACCGGTCGGACTGTTTTATGTGTGCATTGTTTATGAGCAATAGAATAAACATTAACAATCTCTTCTTCATTTCATTTATTTTCATTATCAAGATATGCAAAAATGATTTCAAAGTCACAATACAAGATACATTGCTAGGCAAAATATTAAAAAAATAAAATAAAACCTAGTCTATTATTTTATTTTTTATATCTGACAAAAATTTAATATTGCATACTAAACTTTAAAAAAAATATTACAAATTAAGAAATGGTTCATGAATTAAAACTTAAACCTTATGATAATAATAAAAGAAAATCCCCAATAACTTAACTGTCCTTGCAAGTGAAACTGAAATTTTGTAGTTTCAAATACTGTAATTTTAAATCAATTATCAATGCAAGAGATTAAAAAAATTAATAAAGTTGCAGACACAAAATGATCACTTTTACTTTCAGCACTAACAATCAAGCCTGAAAATGGATTAAAGTAAGCATCAATATAAATAATCAGCATTTGATGTACTGGTACACAATTGAAATAACTTACTACAGTGCAATGAGTACAACTGTATTTGTAAATTGTCTCCATATCCAAGTGGCATAACTAGGCTATTGCCTCAAACACCAGTCGCCACATCAGAACTGAATGAATGTGAACTGTCCAGTATTAACTTTAGAGAAGGTCTTTTAATTGACTTTGTACAATACTCACTTAAAGATTGTAAGGACATATCTAAAATAATTTTTAAAGAATAATGTAAAACATAATTTTCATAATTTTGTTGTCCTCTGTATTTGAAACTGCGGTATGTGATTAAATTGCTTTGTAATCAACAAACATTTCAACAGAGAAAATATCCACAAATCTCTCACAAATGTGATACATGCGGATAATAATAACAAACCATTATCACATCAGACAAAAACTGTCCCAGAACTACAGGCTTCTACAGTTCTTAATTTTAACATTAACACAGCTAAGTGAACTAGTTTTAAATACTGCGCCAAGCAGGAAACTTAAGGTAGGACTCATGTATATTTACCAAAAACACCAGATAAAAGAATGATGTTACAACAGTCTCTGAGAAAGATCCTTGATAGCGTCTAAACAAATCATTCATAGGAATAGGAACCAAATAAACCAGTTGGATTTATTAGTTAACCGATTATAAAAACGGAGAACACCAGTCTGTAATAACGACTTCATGAAAGAAAAATAAAATAAAAACTAAGTAGGTTGTATTTTCACATGTTTATAAAGTTTCTTGGTGAGGATTAACTAATAAAGATTAACTTAAACTGAAACCTGTCAAAAATTTAGAGCATTATCATTAACAAAGAAAAACTAATCAATAACTTTAATAAGATTAATTGACTTAAAAAAGTGAGACCATGCACTACCCTTAAAAGCTTACAAGTAAGTTATATAAAAGAGACCTAAGCAAACAACTATTAGCCCCAAAACATTAATACTTAAGATTAAATGAAGATTAGTTTCACTATTTCTGCCAAAATATCCTAACACAGAAAAGCATAAATTAATCACTGCTGTACTATTATTAATAGACTCACATGGGGTGGGTGTAGGGACCAACAACAAACATTTGTTAAATCATATCAGCATCAATCTTTCACTTTCATTATACAGTTTTTTGGACATTTCACACACATTTTTTTTTTATATCATTGAAAATGCCATCTTCCATGCATGGAAATATTTAGCACTGTAAGTTTTACAAAGAAATGATCTAGCAATTGAAATAAGTAGACTTCAACACTGTGAAATTTATCACACCATGTCATCAGTCTTCTTTGTTCATTGTACAATAATAAAAAATGTTATGTCCCATTTGAACTACAGAACAAGAGGAAAAAAAAAATTAACAAAACTAAAATTTACTATAGTGTTTCACGAAAAAATCCCAGCAGGAAGCAAACTTGTTAAAACAAAGTGAACACATCTTTCGCTTGTTCAAATTATAGATGAACCAGTTGCACTTACTAGAACTAAGGCTGCTTCAGGCAACTGGTTCAATCACACCTCAATTCTCGTTTGAACATTCTCCACCACAATAGCTTTAGAAAATGTCATCCAAATACACATCAGTTTCTAATACTTTGTACACAGCAATTCCATTGCAAGTTTCCAGCTTCTTTATAATCATCATCTGACAACCAGTGTGACATATGTTAAATACATTTCAATTGCTGCCTGAGGTCATTCCAAGTTGCAGTGATTTTCCTTTCAGTCCAGCTAGAAAACTGTCTACTTTCAAATTTAATATCCTTTGAATCTTAACAGTTCACTCATTATCGTACTGTATGCAACATGACAAGATTTTCTCACCATGCATACCAGTGTAAGTTCTGGCTAAGACTTGACTTCAACTCGTTGCTGGAAAGGAAAAAAAAAAAAACTAAAGAAACACAGTTGATTCAACTCCCTCCCTAATCATAACATGTTGCACTGCCTATAACCTCTTTGTATTATAACTCCAATTTAACATGATTGCTATTCTCCTGAGAAGGTGTGTAGGCTATCTGTGTAAGACGAAATCTGAATCGCTTTAAATTAACTCCATTTGAACACCAATCAGCTGCCTAACCAATAGGGATACTCCAAAAACAATAACCTCTCAATACTTAACTTTTACATGAAACCCAACATTAATGCAACCCACTATCATCATGATGCAATTTTATGGACCCCAATAAATTATCTCACTTTGACAGGATTCCACTGTGTATTGTTATAGCATTATAATACTTAACTTGGGAAATCTAGGAAATCGTAACGCTAAAATAATCTTTGTAACAATGAGCAGCTATTAACTCATCCCCGACGGTTGCGACTAAATGCGCCTCGGGGGATGGTGTTCTCCTGATGCGCCCAAATGCGTCCCGGCGCATAGCGACACAACTCTTATTTTTAGTTAAAAATAGCAATGAAATCTCGCGTCCCTCGAGACTTTCGGCTATGGCGTGATTTAATTTAGAAACCGGAAGTTTTTATCTTGTTTCACTTTAAAACTACGTGTGCTTTAGTACGGCGCGTCTATATGTAGCATGTGTTCGTCAGAGGTGACGAAAATCGATTTTTTTGGCCATTGTACGTTATCCCCCCCCCCATGTTATATTTGTATTAAACCTTATTCATTTTTTGTTGCATTTGTTAATTCATTAACATTAAATAATATTTAGCAACTTAAAAAAACATTTTAAAAATATAAATCAATTTCAAAACTGAGTTGCTTCCCTTTTCTCAGGAAAATAAAGTCCGGAAGCAGCGCTGCCGGAGGGAATGAGTTAAACTTATGTATAATTTTTTTTTAAAAAGTTTGACACTTACAGGACCATCATTCCGTCTTCTGTCATCATAGTCCCAAGTTCTTCTCCCACGACCCCCACTGCCTCTATTACCTAAGTGGAAAAAAAAAAACATGCAATGAAAAACTTAAAAGCATTATTTTCCTTCAGTGTACTCAACACAGTTATTGAGTTTACTGTCTAATAATCTTGTTCACTGTACCACAGGAAAATTAAAAAAAAAAAAAAAACAACTTTATGTGCTGTGTTGATATTCAGTTTTCATCAAGAGTACAATGGAACAATATTGTTAATCATGTCTTGTGCTCAAAGAATTCTATTTATCATAACCAAATTGAGGCTAACATTCAAACTTTATATAAAGTTTCTACAATAACCACTTTTTTTTCTTCAAAATTCACCCAAATCAAATATATGATGTTTCAAAACAAAAATTCTGATAACAGTTACAGTATGAAAAGCTCACCCCCATAATATCCACCATCTCTATTATTGTATGCACTGCCATCTCTGTTATTGAAGGCACTGCCATCTCTGTTATTGTAAGCATTGCCACCTCCCCCTCGTCCACGACCTCCTCGCCATCCACCTCGCATATTTCCTCCTCTCCAGTTGTGACGCCCTCTATAATTGCGCCGAAAATTTTCAGATATACCAAAAGTCTCACTATTCAGCTTACGCTCTTCCCTCCATGAATGTCGTTGGCTACATTTTTTTAAAATGCATTGAAAAAAGGAAATTTGTTAATACATTGATGAAAAGATGCATAAAACAATTATAACAAGAAAAAATAAAACTTAAAAAAAAAACACCCCTTAAAAATAAAAAAGTTACCACGTTTAAAAATGCACTGGGGAATAAAACTTATGATTTGTTGAAGAAAGTTAATATATTTTTTGAAATCTTGAAACCCAAAACCCCTTTTAAATTTACCCTTTATTCCGTTCAGTTGCCTCACAGCTGATGTTGTCAAAGAATGATTTCTTTTGGTCATAATAAACTGGTTCTTCTTCTTCCTCTTCCCCTTCTTCATCCTCAATTTCAGGTTCCTCTTCCCCTTTGTCACCATTTACTGACTTGTCACCTAGGAAGAAAAAAAAAGAGGTTAAAAATATTTAGATTTAATTTCCAGGTAATTACATACCTGCAAAACATAACTGAAGACCTTAGAGGAAAAACAGGCATGTCACATTTAGCAACTTTTGAATAGGCAGACCTTGAAGCACAGTTTCAATAGTAAGAATATAATGCTATAATTATACTTGTATTCACGGATGCCATTTTACTTTGGGAAAAATATCAGTTACTAGATATTTGGGACAGTTCACGGCATTTTTACTACTATTTAGCAGGCTGACCTAAAATTGTAACTTTCATCAGCTTTTCCCACTTTAAAATGAAATTTAAGAATTACGGCATATAAAGACACTTAAAAGGGGCCAATAATAAGTCCGCAAATAGCTGACGCATACCTGTAAGGACCACCCCCCCCCCCCCCCCCCCCATTTTTATCAAAAACAACCAAAAAAAAAAAAAAAAGGGGGGGAAATGTTTTGGGTTTTGGGTGGGGGGGGGGGGGGAGGTTTAGATTAGTTGACGTCAACAATCATGTTTTCTAGATCTATTCAATTAAAATTATTATTAGACTGGTTATTACATTATTTTAAAAAATTTAATGAGTGTAAGTGTAAATAGTCATACCAGTATAATTTTTAGATGTCATGTGCAGTCAAGATAAATGATATTGTTAGAGTAGGCAAAGGATATTGTTAGAGTAGGCAAAGGATATTTTGAGATTTAGGGGAAAGTAAAGTGTGTAACAATAATAACATCCCTGCTTGAAAAGATTTTAAAAAAATCTGTAACATCTATTTTGCATCACAAGTCAAGTTGAAAAAGCATCTTCAACAGCACCGACAATGCATAAGAAATTACCACCTGCTACTCTACAAAAAAGGATTCCACCGATTTGAGTAGCTTCCAGGAGACCTTATGGCAATTATTGCTCACACTGACAATGCTTTACTTTCAAGTGCTGAATGGTTAGATGAAGATGATGTTGACTTGTCTGGCATATCACTGTTCCGCAAGATGAAAATGATAAATGCTTGTTAAGTTGTTAATTACTGGAGGCGCCATAGCAATTTTAATAAAACCTGCAAATTCAGCCCCCCCCCCCCCCAATCAATTTATAGACTAACATCACAGTAAAAAAATAAGCAACCCCCAAAAACGAAGTATTTCGTATAAATCCTTATAAAATGGGAAATCGGGCATTGGGGGTGGGGCTGAAAATTTGATAACACATGCATGCAAGTAACTCAATAGGAATCCCAATTAATGTTGAAAGTTCCAACTGAGTTATTTTAAAAGATAGTGGGTGTCAAAAACTAAACAATCAAGGCAAGCAAAGGGAAATAACTCCATTTTGACAGTTGATAAAATATAAAAAAATCAGTCAGAAATTTTCTTTACTGATAATTGTAGAAGATGAACTAATTTAATAACTGATATCAAGATTTTGAACCAATTCAATATCTATTTCTCCATCAAATTCATCGCTTTCGGCGCCAACAGTTTGAAGCAAACCTAGATTTATTGCCAAAGCACTAAAATCTATAGCGCATACAACAAATCAAACAGCCACCAAGCCCCAACAAAAGAGCTCGACACTCCCTGACACTATTTATAAAAAGACTATATAACTCCTTAATTAGAAGAGTTGCCATCTCTAGACAATGTAGAAAATGGTGTGTTGTTTACGGTGAATCATTTAAAAAAAAAAAAGGATAACAGAATTTTTTAGTTGAAAAGTCTATTTTTTTTTTACACCCAGGTCTTCAATTGTTACATATTTGTGGCTTTTCGTAGGGAGAAAAAAAAAAAAAAAAAAAAAAAAAAAGAGAAAAAAAAGAAAAAAAAAAAAAAAAAAAAAAAGCAATAGTGTAACATTAGGACATGTAAATAAATTAAGCAGTAACATACTTACTCAGAGAAAGATTTTTAAGTTCCTTCTCAATATCAACTTTAGCAAATTGTGCATTAGAAGTCTCAAAGTCAAAATCAGTGTCAAACTTAAGAGGTTCAGCTGATCTACCACCTCTTTGACCCTGACCACGGGGCGCACCCCTAGGTCCACCTCGTTGAGGACCACCTCTCATAGGAGCCGAAAGAGGATCTGTTAAACAAAATTTGGTTAACGTTTGAAAATACATTAAGTTAGCCTTACATCAAAATAGGAAAGAATTTTAATTATGATAAAAATAAACAGCTTAGCATCATTAAAAACCCTTACCCCTGTTATTGCTTCTCCCCCTGGAATAGGAGCCTGACTGGCCTCTCTCTTCTCGATAACGATTATTATCCATACGCTGACCTCCTCCTCCTCCACCACCACCACCCCCACGTCTCATACCTTGGCCACGGTATTGCTGATGTTGCTGAGGATGATGTTGGGTTCTATTGTACTGATGTTGGTTATCATGTGATCCTTTTTCTGGACTTCCTGGCTGCACCTGCACACCCTGATCAGAAGTTGGAGACTTTCGACTTAATGGCGGGGTAGAGCTTTGTGAGCCTGTTTCGAATTGAATAGCAAATTAAATAAAATATCCACTAGGAAAAAGTTAAAACAATTTTAACATGACAACTTTTTCATTAGTTATCTTTAGATGATAAATTACAAGCATTTTTTTTTTTCAAAGTTGAAATAAATCTAGTATAGATTGTTTACCATGACATAAGGTACGAGGGCGTGATATTTGTATTTTTTATTTAAATATGTGTGGACAACCTACAGCATGCATGTAGACACGTAGGTTGAATGAATCAAAGCAACACACTTAGCACAATATCTATAGGTTCCCAAAATCTGTCCTAGAATATGCCTCATCACAATCACAACTCCCAAATGAAAATATGTTGTTTAAAGTCTGATTTTCTAAAAATTTTGATTTTTTTTTTCAATTATCAATAATATTTATGCAAATAATGAACTGATGACTTTAATAGCAATTTAAATGTAATTCTAAACTATTCATCAGTTAAAACTCCAGCTTTGGCAATATAGATTCCTCTAAATTTAACTAGTGAAATCAATACCAAACATTTTAATGAACCAGCGGAAATAGTCTTGTGGATTTTTTTGTGTGTGTTTAAAAAAACAAAGCTAGACCTATGTCATTTTAAAAACAGCTTATGGCAGTATCATTATGATGTATGATCCCAAAATTATGACCAAATTTTTAAGATCCAGTTTTAGAATAAATATAGCATGAAAAATGCACATACATATTAAAAAAAACAAAAAAAACATTAAAAAAAAACCAAGGGCATGTTGAATTTTTTTTTTCTTCACAAAGCGGCCGTTTACAGCTGCATATAAATGGTGAAACATCCATGGGCTACACCCATGTTTACTTTAATGAGTGGCCCGGATGCCAACCTGCAAGCTAGACGTAATATACTACGTTTAAAAATAACATAACTCCTCAATGGTGGTTAAACTGCATTTTTCACGGCTAGAAGCATAACCCCATTTTTTAAGACAGCAGTCACTGTTTATGTTCTTTAAAATGTTACCCAGGTCCAAAATAACGTGCCATTACATCATTAAAAGCTTTACCCTTTTTCTTATTTTCAATTCTTAAACATATATAAACTGGTTTATTCTAAAAATAATTTTGTTAAAATATAACTAGAATACAATGTAAAGATGTCAAATGGAAAAATCCAAATTATTAAATACTAGTTCTTTAAGCAATTAACTGTTTTTCGGTATGTGTTGTTACTATCCTAGTGTCTCATTTTTATTTTACTTAGTTTACATGTTTTTAATAATTGTAAAGCGCTTAGAGCTTTATGGTAAGCGCTATATAAAAATGCCTAAATAAATAAATACATGGAGCGGCTACATTTACAGTCATGGGGTAAATGCAACATCACTCTTTTTAATAACTATAAGCAGGTTCTTTTTAAAATACACAAGTAATGATTGAAATTTGATTAAGGAAAGAAGGATGAAAAACCAGATGTGATATTTTTTCCCTCCATATTTTAAAGACAGAAAAGTAACAAGGAATAAAAACAACAAATGAACAAATGGTATTTCAGATTCACCAGCAACAGGTCTTGTGCCAATAGCAGGAATAGATGCTGTCCTCATCTGCTCTCCTGACTGATCAACTCCTGGGGACGATTCTCTCGTGGAGCCTACACAATACAAGTGTAACAACAGCGACCACATCCAAAAAAAAAAGTAGAGACAGCAGCTAATAATCAAACTAATACTACAAGTGAAGTTGAGCATGTGAAATATAAAAATTATTATAGCAACACCATTTAGTTAATAGTGAAATGATTTAAAAAAACATGCACAGAAAAATGATATAAAGATGTGAAACAAGTCACCTCGGACAGAATCATATAAAAACAGAATGCAACATGTTCCCCACGTTTAAAAAAGACAACAGACAAAATATTCAACAAGCCGAGCTGAGTTAGGACTTGCAATTAACTTACTAATGTACATTTTTTAAGATCTACTCTAAAAGAATGTTAGTCAACACAATTGAAAAAAAAAAGGGCTTTTTACCAGTATGATGGTGATGTCCCTGGGAAGGTGGCATAGCAAACCCTGGTGCATGCTGACCCTGACTGAAATACATAGGCTGAGTAAACGGCTGGTACATTTGGCCAGGAGGGAAGCCAGGGGAAGCATTTGGATATGCTGCACCAGCAGGACCAGGAGGTGGTTGAGATGACTAAAACAAATGTGTGAAAAGATAAAAGCATAAATAAAATAAATCGTAATAATATAATGAGAAAAAAAATCCTATGTGCACATGTTTAATTGATATTAGCATCTGATAAAATATACCGGCACTTAGTTTTTTAAAAGCCTCACAAAATAACTATCAAACGTCACCATGGTCATGTCAAGAAATTATGTGGTACAGTCGCCCCTCATTTATCGTGGTCAATCAGTTCCAGACTTTACCGCGATAAGTGAATTTCCGCGAAGTAAGATTATTTATTAATGTTTAAAACCTGTTTAAAACCCCCTCAATTCGGCTTTTAACATTATTAGACCATCTGTGGGTGCTCAAATACATAGGCCCACAGTCAACACGTACGGTAATGTTAATTGTGATACAGGGGTGTATAATTGAATCAGAGCGCGCTGTATCATTTCCACTATCTCAATCAACTTTTAAATGAATACATGTTATATAAGGAGAAAAAAAAACGGGATGAAGCCATGGAAGTCAAAGCAGCGAGGGAAGACTGTGCTTAGATTAAAATCAATAAGCTAATTCTAATTGCAAGGTTAACCTTTTTCATGTCATGCAACAAATAAGATCTTTGCTGATGGTTTGATTATTGAATTTCTACGTACCTTAACAATGGCAGGATCAAGAGGAACACCCTCTGTAGGTTGTGGCTTTGGAGGTTCACACACATGCAGATCTTTAATGTCATGGCCTCGAAATATAATAAACTCAAAAATTTCACTCCTTGCTGGCAAAGGTCTATCTGTTGGACGATCCTCTGTTCCAAATGATCTAACTGATAAGACAAAAATAATGTAAGATGCTTTAATTGATCTATACAATTAGAAATTGTTCTTGATTGTATCGCACAGGTTTTCAGTCTTTAAAAAAAGCCTTTTTCTCATCATTACTCAAAATTGGTCTGTAGCAAGGCATTTGCTGCTGAATGATTGTATGATCAGAATAGTAGAACTGTTTACCCTTGGGTTAGCTAGCCTCAAGAGTAGTTTTCAGTTTCAAGTTCCAAGAGTAATTTGGTTAAATTTGTGGATGGGGTGGCCTGGTTATAATCAAAGCACAAGTTGTGTCAGGAAATCCACTCAACCACTTTTATAGGTTAAACACAAATAAATATACAGAATATAGTCCCAGCACAAAAGGCACTGACTACGGACTTGCTCGATTGACATCTTAGATAAAATTCATGACTATTGAAACACAAATTTTTTGTTGTCAATATGAAAATAAATATGAATTTGTAAAATTAAAAATATGGAAACACTAAAACAAAATTGACCAATGAAGGTGTATACAACTTAATATTTATTAAATTTCCCAGCAATTGCCTTAATTTTTCATCATTTCACTGATCATTAGTGAATGTTTCAGTCTCTGCCCCCCCCCCCTTTTTTTTAATTTTTTTTTTTTGCCTTTTTGTGTTTTAGCACCTTCACTTATAAAAATAAAAAAATGGAAACACTAAAAAAAAATTGACCAATGAAGGTGTAAACAAATTAATATTTATTAAATTTCCCAGCAATTGCCTTAATTTTTCATCATTTCACTGATCATTAGTGAATTTTTCAGTCTCTGCCCCCCCCCCCTTTTTTTTAATTTTTTTTTTTAGCCTTTGTGAGATTTAGCACATGCACTTAGCTCCCACAAGAAGAAAACATCTTTTCATACAAAGACAATGTCTTTTTCTTGCGAGGAAAATGATCAGTTAGTGTAGACCAACTATAGTGTCTATAAAATCTCTGTAATCAGGGTTTCATAATCGGAGACAAATTGGGAGCTTAACTGAGAAGTTCCAGAAGAGGACACCTGAGCTGGATGATAAGATGACTGTCTTTTCTTAATCATATTTGCATCGAGATGGCACTTAGGAATATACTGCCAATTTGCTTGTTATCAATAAATCTAGTAGTGTATCAGTGATATTTGCCCATTCTTATAGACAATTAATGCTTTAAGGCAGTGGTTCTCAACCTCCCTAATGCAGCGACTCTTTAATACAGTTCAAGTTGTGGCGACCCCCAAACACAAATTATTTTCATTGCTACTTCATAACTGTAGCATATTTGTGTTTTCCCGATAGTCTTACGCGACCCCTGTGAAAGGATCCCAAAGGGTTCACGACCCACAGGTTGAGAACGGCTGCTTAAGGGGAGATGCAGGTAAGAGACGGGTATGAAAAGTAAATTAATTTTTTTTACCTGACCCTTTCAATCTTCAGTCAAAATTGCCCCATTGAGGGCCATTTTTTAGTGCTAAATCCTAACGTATTTGGTATGGTTGGAAAGCTGGTTAATTCCTGTTTCAGACCCATATTCCCTCAACTTTTAAAATCGTACAATGTCCTCAAAAAATCGTTCAATACATTAACTTAATAGTAAAAAAAATAAACATGCAGTATATATAATGTATACACCTAAAAATCGTAGGAGTAAACAAGTCTGCTGCTTTAGATAAATATAGCTTTTTAACATAAAGAAAATTACAAAAGAAACAGAACCTTTCAATCGCCTGCCAGTTCTAGAAAAATATGGCAATTTCCTGACCTACTTCATGTATCAAGTGATCTAGCCCTGACCTTTGAATACAATAAGCATTTTGATTGGTTAATAAAAAAGTTCTCAACCTGTGGGTCGTTACTCTTATAAGGCCCTACAGAGGTGGCCTAAAACCAACGGAAAATACAAAAAAAATAATAATAAAATATGGTCGAGGGTCAACACAACACGTGGAACTGTAATAAAAGGTTGCAGCATTAGGAAGGTTGAGAGGCACTGGGTTTATGTCAGAACTCTACAACTACTTCTGGTGTAGACACAATGATCGGTTTCAAACATATGTAAAGCTTAGTCATCCTTCTGATTTCGATACTTAATACATTATTTGACTCTAAAAGATTTGAAATGAAAATTTTTTTATCAATCAGGTTTGCTTTGATTAATGGTCATGAAAAATATGATTAATTCTAATTCTCCTTCTTTGGAGAAGGCTAAGCTACTTCACTTGCAAGAAGAAGATGGAAAAATATCATGCCAATAATAATTGTAAGAAGTTAAAAGTTCAAGAGACAATATATTTATCACTTAGATTCAAATTTTATGTATCAATCATTTTTAAGGCTAAGCCTATTCTCAATATATTGCATAGCAGTACTACAACTGCAATGATTGAATGCAGGCTTATACTTATAATAATGAACCGGAAATGATAGCCACTCTCTGTTATTCTTCTTCTTATTACATAAGAAGTATTTAAAATCTTTATTTATCCATTGTTTTTAAAAGCTATCCAGTTCATTTATATTACTTTATTTGTTTTAATTATATGACTGAAAACAAGTTTATACATTTATGAAATTTCATTATTACTTTTTTTAAATAATAAAATTTATATTCATGATAAACATTTCAAAACTAAATCAACTTCAGTCATTTAAATCTATGCTTTAATTCTTTTTTAATTCCACCACATTATGGACCACCAGAGCATAACCGTAACTGCTATGGGTATATTTCACCATTTACTGCATTTATACACTCAGGACTCCTTATCATGATGGGTGGAAACAATATTGACACAAAGTAAACCATTTTCGAAAAACCTTTTATTACCAATGATATAAACACGCAGGACTCCATCAATGTCATAAACCGAATCATTACCAATGGTATATATAACCATAACAAATTTGATCAAGATTACCATGGACTCAGCCAACACATTACTTTAGACCAGGGGTCTCCAACCTTTTCAGCCCGAGGGCCGCATTAAGGTGGTCCACGGGGGAAAATATCGATATTTATATAATTTTTATCAAAAATGAGATTATGGTGAATTTTACTAGATAAACATCTAAGGAACATTTTGGTTTTTACCATTTTCATTAAAAAATAATTTAAAGTTGTTAAAAATGTATTTTAAAGTAGTATGGTAAGAGCAAATTTTGACTTCTGGGGCAAAATTCAGGCCCCATAGACCCCCTGGCGCACCCTTCGCTTTTACAATATAATTACAACGCAATATAGTCATATTTGGTATCGATGGAAAGCTTAGCCTCTCTACTCGGTAATGGTATCGCCCACTAAAATGTTCAGAAATAAGGCTGGCGGGAGCTCTTTGTTCGGCAAAGCCTCTATATTTTCGCTCGAACAAATGTTCTTATTGGTCGAGATTTAAAGTTTCAATAAATCGGATATTGTCATTGGTCAGCTATTTTTAGACTTCATCAACAAGTCAGAAATCTATCCCACAATGCAATGGCCGTCTACCAAATTCATTGTGTCCAGTTGGCGTAACCTTTTATCGATCGATCGACTTTACTTTTGCAGTCTTCAAATAAATTCAAATTTGAACTTATTTTTTTGCTTTGAAAAGGTAAGTTGAATTAATTATTGTATAATTTAATTTATATTAAATAGTTTTAGCTAGTTTTAGGCGTTCGAGTGAAGGTTGAGCTAGGTTTCGTATAATAATACAGTGTCATTATCACTAGGGCTAGTAACTAGTAACTAGGCCTACTTACTAGTGACTAGTACTAATACTACTACGAAACAGTGATATACGCAGACATATAAAAATGTAATGAGCGTAGGCTTATGAATCAAATTGAAAGCTACTTTATGCCTAAATATACAAAATTGTAATACAAAAAATATTTCAATATATTCATTACTATTTTTCTTTACGTTCGTGTCCTTACACGTCTCTAATTTGATGTGATTTTCAATTTTCGTTGTCAACAACATTTATGAGATGGTAATATTGATCAATGTAAATGAATGCAAAATTTGAATAGGCCTAGAGTGTAGGATTTCCTAATTTGTACTTATTAAAACAGATAATAATAATGTAATAATAGTAGAAATCTTGCCATTTCCTTAGATTTAAAAAAACAAAAAAATACTGATTCTATTTACCTTTGCCAGGCTAACTAGGAGCTAATTGCTCAGTCTAATACTAATATAATTTTATGTTTCAAAAGCTAATATAAACATTTTTTTTTCCATAATACAGAAAATCCCTGTCCCCAAGAACAAGTGATCCAAGTCCAAGTAACTAGAGAAAGCCAGACTAGCACCAACTTCACCGCAAGCCTCAGCACTAGCCTCACCGCAAACTTCGGCACCAGCCTCACCGTCAGCTTCGGCACCAGCCTCACTGCCAGCTTCGGCACCAGCCTCATCGCCAGCTTTGGCACCAGCCTCATCGCCAGCTTTGGCACCAGCCTCATCGCCAGCTTCGGCACCAGCCTCAACGCCAGCTTCAATATCTGAAGAATCTATGGCATCGTATGCTTCGAAGAACAAACTTCATGCTTTGGAATATCAATCATACCATAGGCTTCTCTGCCTCATCTATCATGCAGATAGATGCCCTCCAGCCCATTTTTCAAACGTTTTCATGCCCAGTATGCAAGTAGGACACTTCAAGGTTCACAGTGGTGAAAATAACTTTATAGACTAGCGTTATTTTTAAAAGTCGTATGTAATGTATGTGACGTTGTCATCCCATCATCTGACACGTTAGTTGTATGCAAAGGCAACATTTTTTATGTCGGCAAAAGAGCTGCGACAGCATCATTAGTGACTGGATTGTGGCATGCTGGTATGGGGAAGTTTTTCCAAATAATGGATGTACCAAACATTCACCAAAAAACAATCGACCAGAGTGCTACACTACCACCCTGCATCAATCGCTACCAATCTACAAGGATAAGTTGCAGAGGTAGTAGACATTGATGATGGTCCTATGATGGGAGTTGGCTCACTCAGGAGGGATAGTGTTATATCTAAATACCTCACACTCACATGATAGACAATTTTTCCAGAATTTTTTATATAATCATGTTATTTACGACAAGGGGTTGCTTTTAAAAACATGACTTTTATTATTTTCTATCATATATATCTGTGTTTTTATATTGTTTTTTCATTTATGAATAGTATATGTACATGGTATATGCATCCAATGTTGTTAAATAAGTAGACTTTAATTTTTTTTTAAATATTTTGTTTTTCTCAACTTTGCGTTTTTTCAGATTTTCAGGAATGCCAAGTGCATCACGAGGAAAAGTATTATAGCTACAGACTTCAAACTTTCCATGCTTTTTACCATTGATATTATCTACATAATAACACCTCCTTCTTTTAGATATGTCAAGCAGAGATTTAAAAATTATTTTTATTATTATTATAATTTTATTTGGGATGGGGGTTGTTATTTTGAAAACGTGACTTTATTAATTTTATGTGTTTTATATCTGTGTTTTTTATTGTTTTTTAATTTTATGAATGGTTCTTGTACATGGTATATACATCCTACATTGTTCAAGTAGTCTTTAATTAAAAAAAAATTATTTTTCGTTTTTCACAACTTTGCATTTTTCAGATTTTTCATGGACGCGAAATGTATCAGGAAGAAAAGTATTACAGATACAGGCTTCACACTTTCCATGCTTTTTACCATTGATATTATCTACATAATGACATCTCCCTCCTCTGGATCAGTCCAACAGAAAAATTTTAATTATTTTTTATTGTTATACACTTTTTATTTGGGACAGGGAGGTTGATGTTTGAAAATATGACTTTGTTAATTTTCTATCTTTTATATCTGTATTTTTATATTGGTTTTTCATTTATGAATAGTATATGTACACGTTTTATGCATTATATCTTGTTCATGTCGTCTTTAATTTTTAAAAAAAAACATTTTTGGACTTCTTTTTCGTTTTTCTCAACTTCATGTTTTTCAGATTTTTTAGGAATGCCAATTGCATCAGGAGGAAAAGTATAACAGCTACAGGCTTCAAACTTTCCATGCTTCTTACCATTGATATTATCTACAAAGTGACATCTCCTTTTTTCAGATCTGTCCAACAGAACTTTTAAAATTATATTTTTACATATGCTACCCCCGGTATTTTGCCAGAAAATTATGTGACTCCACAAATATGTCATTTGTAGATGCTCCAATAACTGTAATGCAGAAAGCTTTTGTAATTTTTTTAACAACTCTATTCTTAATGAGTGTGCAAAGTTTCATTATGTTGATAAATCTTTTGGGTGTTGATACATTTTGCGTAACTGTCAATATTTGTATAAAATTATATAATTTTTGCAATAAAAGTCAAAAAAATTTTTTTTTAAATAAACTATGTTTTTTTGTCTTTCTATTGGTGTATAGTTAGTATGTACTAAAAAAAAAAATTTTAATTTAAGAAACATAGAAAAATTTTTTTTGACCCATGGACCACCTTAACTATCAAACAGCAGTTCAGGGGCTGACTACACACTTGAGGTCCAAAAAAAAAAAAGTATCAAAACATGGATGTTGTTTTTAATTATTTATTTAACATTATTTTATTTAGTTATTATTTTAATAACACATTGATACACTATACATGAACACCTGTATTAGTGGGAATGGTGAAATTGTTTCCTGGATGCCAAAATAGCAGAAATTTCTGGCTTTTAGATTTGTTGTCCCTAACATCAACAGTGACCTGCGATTATCATCGGACAAGTTTGTTCTCAAATCGTTCTTCACTTATTTCATTCTTCAAAATGTTTGTTTACACAGGTATGTTGCTTCAAAGATTGAAAGCTACCCTGATGCAAAAGTTTTGACATTAGGAAAGTCTTCCTTGGGCAAAAACTGGTAAAAACCCACCAGTCCTCCTTTGAACTTGTCCCTAAGGAGGTAATTTGCTTGCAACTCAATTACTGCCAGCTGCAGTTCATCTGGGCAACTGGCCACATCTGCTTCAAATGGGTTTTAAAACTGTCTGACTTCTTATGCCTTTGAATCCAAGTCAGAAAACCACTGCTGAAACTGCAGCTGGAGGTCTTTCTTGATCTTGCATGCAAATGTGGGGAACTCCACTGTTGCAACATGTTTCCGAATCAGACACTATTTGACACCAACACCACCTCATCGCAGCAGTCAACTGCAACTTGCCAACTGATCAAAATAATCAAGCAGCAAACCATTTAAAAACTCCGCCATCAGTTGGTGTTACATCATTTCATTGACTGAACGGAAGTAGAAAAACCAAGCAGTGAATAAGGTTTTGCAATTGGTTGGAAAACACAGCGCACAACAGAGTGCCTCTATTTTCAAGTTGGTAAAAACTAGGGGTGTGCCGGACCCCGGTCCGGAATCCGGTTCCGCCGGATTTTGCACTATCCGGTGAAATCCGGTTCCGCCGGATTTACATGTATCCGGAACAACCGGATTCCGGAATATACCGGATTTCGGAATTTGCCAGATTTTGTGACTCACCGGATCATAATCTGAAATAAAAGTAATTCTCTTTCCCGAATTTCACACGATCACGATACATTAATCGATTGTTTCGAGCGTTGAGCTTGTTTAATGTTTAATATTCCGTACATACCAGAGGCTAGAGTCAGCACCGCTAATAGTGGCCAATAGTGTAGGGACTTTGATAAGAAAATTTAAACTTTTTGTAAAAATAAACCAATGGCATAGTTGAAAAGATGTAATTTTTTAAAGAATTATAACACCAAAATCATATTTTTAGCTGTTGTAGTTTTAAAGTTATGAATTTTTAAAGTACGACTTGGTTTGTCATTTTTTAACATGGACTGCATCTCCACATTCTGTGATCTCATTCCACCAATCCCGTCATGCGCAATGACTATATAGTTTATATAAGGCAACGCATTCCCTGCCTTATCACTAAAATACTGTTTAGACTTAGTTTAAACTTTCAACTTTGGCACATGAATAATTAATTAAAGCTTTCCCTGACCAATGGTTTAATAGTTTTTGCACACGGCAAACTCTTATGAATGAAACTCTGAGGTAGTACTACGATACAGTTATGCAAGTGGCTGTGAATGGTTGCCAATGACAACGTGTTGCACACGGTAAATTCTGATCATTTATAATATGGATTCTACCGGGTTGTTAAAGCTCAAATTAAAACATTCCAGTTTAAATGTCTTTAAATGCATTCTGAAACACAAGTTATCAATTATTTTGATGTAAATAGTGATAATAAATTAATATTTCCTAAGTATCGTCAACTTCCGCCATTAAAAAGGGGGGCGTGGCCAACCCCATGGCGAAATTAGGTTGAGCGAGCTGCATAACCTGCTGCGAACGCGTAGAAACATGGCGTCTCTCGTAAGACACTTATCCAAATGGAACGGAACTCAAATATATATCGAAAGTACTAATTTAATAATAAATAGACACACACATCGGAAAATTAAAAACTCGGATTTTTTGGCGCCGATTGCGAATTCCCATACACAAAAAGTAGTAGTCCACCTTGACGTACCGAAGTATCTACCAATAGTACCAAAATCCGGGAGAAACCGGTATCCGGATCCGGCGGATTTCGCATAAGAAAATCCGGATCCGGATGGAAAAAACGGATCCGGCACACCCCTAGTAAAAACATAACGCAATACTGCGCTACTCTATTTAATTTGGTAAAAACAGCGGCGTCTAATCTTGGCAGGATACATGTAAATTTCCATAACTTTTTTCGTAGATAAAATTGTCTCCATGGGCCGGATGAGAGGGCCTTGCAGGCCGCATCCGGCTCGCAGTTTGGAGAACCCTGCTTTAGACCATAAGAAAATGTATCTTTTATGCAGCCGTTCAATGAACTATAATATAAAAGTACCAATATAATATTAAGTGATCATCATTGGTACTGTGGATTTCTAATAGCATGGCTACTTGCATTATCAATTTCATGGATGATTGAATTTAACATTAAGGTCAACATCTTTCAGGTTTTGGTAAAGCAAGGGAGACTACTAAAAAAATTTGTATGGGAAATGGGCGTCGGCGAGCGAAAATCAGAGTTTTATTTTTTTGATGTGGATACTATTTCATTCATAAAATAATAACTATATCCTACAATTGGCCTTTCGCTTTAGAAGACATTTTGGCCTACATATTAATTGATTTCTTTTTCATTTACAATCAGTCAACTTTGAGGAAATCCTTGGTGAATATAAGGCAACTTTCATCATTAAAACTAAGTCGAAGTAAAAGATATGGAACGGCCAAATTCTCTATGCATATTGGGCATGTATTGATTTAAATGTGTGCCAATTTTCACAGCGATATGTGTTAAATGAGAGACGCTATGTTTCTACGGTCATGCAGTTCACTTACCCCATTTTCGGTGTGACCACAACCCCATTTTTAATGGCGGAAGATGCCGATATTTGAGAAATATTAAACTTTTATCACTTTTTACTTCAAAATATTTGGATAACTTATGTTTTAGAGTGAACTTGGAAGGCATTTAAACAAGAATATCCTAATTTGAGGTTTAAAAACCCGGTAGAGTCCATATTATAACTGATCATAATTGGCCAAATTTTGCATTGGGAAACCATTCAGAAGCCACTTACATAACGACTATACCGTATTACTTTTTCAGAGTTTCATCCATAAGAGTTTTCATTGTGCAGAAACTACCATTGGTCAGGGAAAGCTTTAATTATTTATTCATGTGACAAAGTTGAAAATAAATCAACCCTAAACAGTATCGTAGTATTAAGGGGATGCGTTGCCTTAGATAAACAATATACTATAGTCATTGCGCATGACGCGATCAGGTCACAAGATGTGAATGTGGAGATCTCGTCCATGGTAAAAAAAATAAACAAATTATAAACACACTTTAAAAAAATGTGCAGCTAAAAAAAGTACTAAAGCTAAAAAGTTGATTCTGGTATCATTTTTTTAATTTGAAATGTGTTCTAAAGTAATATCAAAAAAATAATATTTTTTTTACTGAAGTACCTACGATTTTTTCAATGCGACATCCATTATTTCATAAATCTTTTCTGTGGAATTATTCACAGTATTAATAATTCACTAAATGATTGTATGCATTAACTCAAGGTGAATAGGGAATGTTTATGCAATTTGTATTTTTTAAGGCACAAAAGGCTACATTTTAAAATTAAATTTACTCACTATCTGTTGCTCAAAACAAATGCCACTGATTTAATTCATTTGTTGATGTATTAATATTAAAATGGCTTATTATTACAGCCTAATGCCTAATTAAACTATGCTGAAAATATGAAGGCTTTAGTTTTATTGTACTTTACAAGTAAAAGAGTTATATTTTTAGTGTCGAAAACATGTAATTTAAAAAAAAAAAATCTATATACCCTCTGTTGTTCAAACACTTAAGTGGTAATCAATTAGAATTTCATTTGCAAACACAACTAAAAGCCTGGCTATAAAGACAAATGAGCTCATTTGTCCTTATCAAATCACTTAGCCCAACTATTCACTATTCTTATCAGCAGAGAGCAATCTGTAAATTTGTAGCATGTTATTGTTTCCAGATTCACTCTCTGATGCAACATTCATTATATGTATCTTTTTTTTTCTCCAAACTTTCAATTTAAGTTAAAGTAATAGTTATCATTAAGTTAAGGCTAGTCTATGTGTTTCATAATTTAGCATTTAGGCTAAGGTTGACACTTTTCGGTAAATGTGAAGAGATAGGACCACGTTTATTTACCTTGGTTGCAGCGACCCGTGAACTTGTGTCCCAAATGTATCCCTAAACCTAACCTGAACCCTAAATGTATCCCTTAACCTAACCTGAACCCCAAACTTATCCCTAACATGGGTTTTGACACTATTGACTCTTGGAACCAGGGTGCTATCTCTTCACATTCGCCCACCTTTTCAAAACAAACTTGCAAGATATACTTTACTTGCACTGTGAAAAAATATACAGCTAAAGACTCCCAATTACTATGATTATCAATGAAATCAGGATTAAATCTGGATAAAAACCATTAAGCCCCATTATTATTAGTATTGGGAACCATCTCCAACATTTTTACAAAATTTGTTTGCCAGGACAGCTTTGTAGTTGTTTATTATAATTAATATATTCTGGAATTATCGTTTAACAAGGACGATTTATACTTTTATTGTGACTGCAAAAAGGACTTGAAGTGCATTTTAACCAATAGTCATAATATATGAATTAAACAAAAGCTATAGTTCAAACCTTTTGCCAAAGCTACTGTCGCTTCAACTGGATCGATGGTATACAAAGTTCCTTCATATCGAATCTCAGCCTTAGATATTAAACTAATTTTACTTCCAAGATATGGGACCCCGGTGGGAGCAGGGACTCCAGTTGGCCCCGGTACTCCTTGGCTCATGTTGAATATATCCTATCACCGAAACTCAAAAGAGATGTCGGCGGATTTCAATTAATTTGCTTTTCTTAAAAGATGGCGATCATTTTGGTTTGATTTCAAGCGGAAGTTCAGATGGCGCGGATGTTACGATCCCACAGTTCGTATTTTGAGCATGCGCAGTGTCATTTGAAATTTGTTAGTCCATCGAAATGGCGGATCAAGGGTCCATGGATGAGTTCCTATCGAAAGAAATAGATCAAAACAAAGTTTCAGCGTTAGTAGGGTCTCTGGAGTCACAGTTAGCTTCATCTACAAATAAAGAATCTCTCAAGATTGTTCCTGGGTCTACTTATAATAATAATCATATTGCTGGGAATGCATCTGTAGTTAATGCTCCCAACACAAACACTGCAAGTGTGACTGTCAGGCCACAACAAACTGTTGTGAGCGTGCAAGGCCTTGGCTTACAGTCACAGGCAATAACTTCTAATAAAAATTTACCCCAGAATGCTGCTATAATTAACTCAAATATTAATAATCCTCAAATTATTGGCATTTCGTCTATAATAAATGCCAACTCCCACAACAGAACCAACTCGAATTCTACCACTACATCACTGTCAAATTCATCTGTTTCAAACACACCTCTTTCTTCAGCTGCTAAATATTTAAACAGTTCTCCTTCTATACGTATAGTAACTAATAATACAAAACCTCAAAATTCTGTTTTGCATACCTCTCCTGTTCAGGTGTCAAAGCCACAATTTATAAACAGTGCAATAGCTCAAAGTGTTACTACGGTAAGACCTGGTCAGCCGCTAACAACTGCAAGAGTTAACATTAGTGCATCTGGTGCGAGTACTGCTATGCATAATTTAGCCACTATTGCTGCTGAACAAAAACCATTGACAGTGTTACCCAATGGTAGTACTCATTTACAAAACATGCAACATAAAGATGGATCTGTGATACCTCAACAAATTATTGTGAAAAGTGATGCAAATCATATGGTAGGGAAAAGAGATTTGAACCCTTTAGTAAAAAGTGATATTCATAATATATCAAATTCTGTGATACAAGGTTTGCCGCAAAGTTTACGGCAGACAACGCCAATTATAGGTACAGGAGCTCAACAAATAATGAAAGGAATACCTCAAGGAAATAACCCAGCTCTTGTAACATTAAGGACTCACACGCCCCATTCACAGCAACATGTAGTTGTACGGCCCACTGTTGCAACAACTTTAGCAAACTCTTCTCCATCTGTGCAAGTGGTAAATGCATCAGTAGCAGGTACACCATCAACATTAAGACCTGCAGGAATACAACAAATACGCCCAGGACAAGTTCGCATTTCAAATCCTCTCAGATTAGGTACTCAACCAAATATAGCACCAAGGCAGCAGAATTCACAAACGGTATGTTAAAATTTGTACAACTTTGCAAAAGTTTTTTTTTTGTTGCTAAGTAATATTTGTTTTTAATCTTAAACTTTAATAATTTTCTCCCTTTTTTAATACAAAATCATTCCATTCACCAGCATAGCATTTTGGAATGAATGCACATTTTATGTAAAAAAAAAAAAATGTGTACGAATTCAGAGATGCTATTGCTAAAATACAATTTTTTAAAATTGAGCTAATACTTCTTCAGAAAATTATAGGTTATAAATTATGGAAAGAAAAGAAGTAACTAATTAACTGTTAATTAGGCTAAAATAACTTTTCTACCCAATTTAACCCTTTCGCTGCTGAGTTTTTTTAATGAAAAAATGTACATTTTATTTCAAAAAGTGAGAAAGACTGAGAAATTGGGTTTATTAAAAAATATCTATTTATTTTGATATCTACTGAAAGATAATTGAATGGACTATATGTTTGTAAAAATTTTTCTTAAGTTTAACTAAATAAGTGACAAAAGAAATTTAAAATGTGAAAACATGAAATGTAAAACCTTTTTTTCCTTAAACCCTTTGATGTAGATATACATCATCTTCACTGCTATAATTCAAATCATCTAAAACTACTACTATTGGAATCATCTGATGGATCTAAATCATCTTCATTATCAATAGAAATAGTATAAAACATTTCCAAAGCTTGTTGAGCTTTTAATTGTCTAGGAAATTTACTCACCCCACTAGAGCCTGTGGTAGCCATAGCAACAGAATTGATAAAGAAAAAAAACAACAGCAAAGAATATTGATAAAATAAAGCTTCAAATGACAAATAAACCTTTCTTTCGCTCATAAACAATGAAGCACCACTCTTCTATGTAAAAGTCTAATTAAAAACTAGCTCTTAAAACGTTTAACTGAAAAATAGCAAAGAAACAACCATGATATTGAAACAATGCACTGTGTGTTTGTCCGTGCGTTTTAGCACAGCGGATGAATGTACTGCGCTACAGTGAAAGAGGTAAAGGGCAAATGCAAAATAAATATATGCAAAAGCAACCTGTATAGATTTTTTTTTACTGTGTCTTATTTTTATTAAAGGTGATAAAATTAATTAACCCCAGAATACTTTAATAAATTTTAATGTTTAGCCAATTTTAGTTTTGATTATCTAAACTAATTGGGACTGTGGTGCTTTGGATAACCGAGTTTTCGGATAACAGAACACTCTCATGGAAAGTTTGCCTTAAAGAAAGTAATGGGCATGGAGATTTGAGGTCACTTTGTCTTTCAGACGTGTATTCTGGGATAAATATTAATTAACAAATTAGCAGATCGCATTATACTAGTCATGTTGCTGAATGTACAGTATGTACCTAGATTTTACCTTGTTTGTGAGACAGTGTTCAGAGTTGTTTTTCTGTCTTATTACACCAATGCTTCAAGAAGTATTCATGGTGTACCAAAATAATGATTTTGAAAAGACATGAAATTCAGATAACCTTAGACTCTGGTATATATATATATATATATATATATATATATATATATATATATATATATATATATCTCTCATCTATTGCATATTATTTTTTATCTGTCCTATGGTATCACAAATTTTTTACTTTTATATTTTATCTCGGGTTTTTCGCTGTACTGCTGTACTATCTAGTTTTTTAAAATATGTTTATTATTTTAATTATTATTTGCAATAAATAAGCATTTCTAGCCTAAAAAGTTGAAAACGATACAAACAAAACTATTAAATATTAATAAAAAAATATTATTTATCTATTAAATCGAAATAAATGTTAAATATAAGGTGGCTATTCGTGGACTTCACCTATCACATGGATTTCTGGAACCTAACCCCCGGAACATAGACAAGGGATCACTCTGTTACTAAAGTAGTTACTCTCTTGCTTCATAGTTATTTAAAAAATGATCAAAGATTGATGGTCATTATGCCTAAGGACTTATTAAGCTTGTGTAATAATAAATTTTTTTTTGGGTAGTTATTCTAATTTTTCTATTAAGTAATTGTTTCTTCTTAATATTTAGGGCACCCTTACTATCCCTCATGGGGCACTGCTAGTACGAAATGAGAGTGGCCAACTTGTTCTTGTGTCAGCATCCCAGACCGTCCTTCAGCAAACACCAAGCAGCAACAGTGTTATAACCACAATGGCTCCAAGTAGTTATCGTATACAGAATGTTCGGGTAACTTTCTCTGTCACATATTGTAACTATATATAATGAAGATTAAACATACCAGATTTATTTAAGAAGAACGTCTCTGAATTTAATTTATGAACATTTTATTTAAATTCTTTTTCATAAAGGTACACTGAAATTTTAAAATCAATATAGCTGTTGTTTTTTTTTAAATTTTAGTATGGTATGCTGAGTTCATTGACATAGAAGCACTGCACTGATTAATTGATATCAGCATTTTTATTGCCAGATTAAATGGCTTATATGTTTTTGTAATGATATTTTGCAATAATGTCAGATCTGAAACAAGTTTCTGGTCATTTAACGGTTTCAGAACATGAAAATGAAATTACTTAAATCTAATTACACTCTATTACATATGAAAAACAGCAACCACATTAGCTATTTTTTGAAAGACTCCCCATTTCAAAGATTTGTTACACCCTCCATCAACCCAAAATCATTAATACAATGTGAACAAACCTGAACATGAGATTTTTATGGTCAGAGCCCTCATATTTTCAGTTTTTGAGTGGCATGAACAGCAGGGCAGTTAACCCTATGCACACCTCTCAAGTGGTGCTGGGGTTGCACCTAAGATATTACCATAAGTCTCTCCACATTCCCACCCCAGAGGATTGACAGATTGGGTCCATTGCAAAAGGGAGGATTCCTCAGACCTGATAATTTGATTCAGGGACTCAGATACTGATTTGCCAAGCCCCTAGTGGCACTTGTTGAAGGGCATCCAAACTTTATCTGATTTTAGCACCCAGTTAAAATGAATTTGTTTGATGACCATACATTTAAAAAAATCCAATTTGTAAGTCACAGTTGTGGGCCAAGTGATAGTTGTCCTACTAGTTGTTAGATAGTTAAGTTTTGTTTTTGTTGCATCATTAAGACATAAAGGAAGCATAAAATAGTGCACACAATTTGCCATAGAGATTTTCTGTAAACTTAGTCAAAGGGCATAGAAGTCTGCAAACCTTAACAGGACTTGCTTTTGAGTTTGAACAAAGAAAAAAAAAAAAGTAAAATATTATCTTCATCTTTGTGTATTGTATGCTGCTTAATAAATAGTTAAGTAGGTTCCAGGAAGTACAAAATGACTAGTATTAACAAAATATTTGTTGTTATTGACAGCCCCTCACATCTCAAGCACCCGTGCGAAGTACTTCTAGTGGTCAGACCATCGTCACCATTCAGCCTCAATCAGCACCACAGCAGCAGTCCATTCAGGTTCGAGGACCAAATATTTCAGCAGTTGTTCCAACATCAAATCTCCAGCAACGTCCCCAAGTCCAAACAACAACAGTCATTGGTCAGTCGGCCCCCTCTATTGGTCAGCCTAATGTAGCGACCCTCTCTGCAACTGCTCCTGGAGAGATGAGTAAGTTAATTGTTTCCAAACAACAAAAAGATGGAAAATGCTCCTTTTTAATACTTTAACTTATAGAATAGGATCTGGGGGATGGTCTTCCTCGGCTGTATAGATTTTCACCTTCTGTAACAGTTTATCAAGGTTGAGAAAAGACAGAATCTTTTTCTTAGATTACTATCTCACTGTCAAGAAAATGCATCACAGCACTAGGGGTGTGCCGGAATCCGGTTCCGCCGGATTTTGCACTATCCGGTGAAATCCGGTTCCGCCGGATTTACATGTATCCGGAACAACCGGATTCCGGAATATACCGGATTTCGGAATTTGCCAGATTTTGTGACTCACCGGATCATAATCTGAAATAAAAGTAATTCTCTTTCCCGAATTCCACACGATCACGATACATTAATCGATTGTTTCGAGCGTTGAGCTTGTTTAATGTTTAATATTCAGTACATACCAGAGGCTAGAGTCAGCACCGCTAATAGTGGCCAATAGTGTAGGGACTTTGATAAGAAAATTTAAACTTTTTGTAAAAATAAACCAATGGCATAGTTGAAAAGATGTAATTTTTTAAAGAA